GTCTCCTGGTTTATGTGAGTGCTTTTCGTCACACACAAGACCAGCGCTGGATGCTCTGAGGAGCAGCAGTGGGTCGACGGGACAGAGTCACTCACCTCTTGAATACGTGCTCTCGTGAGTGGTCTCCTGGTTTATGTGAGTGCTTTTCGTCACACACAAGACCAGCGCTGGATGCTCTGAGGAGCAGCAGTGGGTCGACGGGACAGAGTCACTCACCTCTTGAATACGTGCTCTCGTGAGTGGTCTCCTGGTTTATGTGAGTGCTTTTCGTCACACACAAGACCAGCGCTGGATGCTCTGAGGAGCAGCAGTGGGTCGACGGGACAGAGTCACTCACCTCTTGAATACGTGCTCTCGTGAGTGGTCTCCTGGTTTATGTGAGTGCTTTTCGTCACACACAAGACCAGCGCTGGATGCTCTGAGGAGCAGCAGTGGGTCGACGGGACAGAGTCACTCACCTCTTGAATACGTGCTCTCGTGAGTGGTCTCCTGGTTTATGTGAGTGCTTTTCGTCACACACAAGACCAGCGCTGGATGCTCTGAGGAGCAGCAGTGGGTCGACGGGACAGAGTCACTCACCTCTTGAATACGTGCTCTCGTGAGTGGTCTCCTGGTTTATGTGAGTGCTTTTCGTCACACACAAGACCAGCGCTGGATGCTCTGAGGAGCAGCAGTGGGTCGACGGGACAGAGTCACTCACCTCTTGAATACGTGCTCTCGTGAGTGGTCTCCTGGTTTATGTGAGTGCTTTTCGTCACACACAAGACCAGCGCTGGATGCTCTGAGGAGCAGCAGTGGGTCGACGGGACAGAGTCACTCACCTCTTGAATACGTGCTCTCGTGAGTGGTCTCCTGGTTTATGTGAGTGCTTTTCGTCACACACAAGAGCAGCGCTGGATGCTCTGAGGAGCAGCAGTGGGTCGACGGGACAGAGTCACTCACCTCTTGAATACGTGCTCTCGTGAGTGGTCTCCTGGTTTATGTGAGTGCTTTTCGTCACACACAAGAGCAGCGCTGGATGCTCTGAGGAGCAGCAGTGGGTCGACGGGACAGAGTCACTCACCTCTTGAATACGTGCTCTCGTGAGTGGTCTCCTGGTTTATGTGAGTGCTTTTCGTCACACACAAGAGCAGCGCTGGATGCTCTGAGGAGCAGCAGTGGGTCGACGGGACAGAGTCACTCACCTCTTGAATACGTGCTCTCGTGAGTGGTCTCCTGGTTTATGTGAGTGCTTTTCGTCACACACAAGAGCAGCGCTGGATGCTCTGAGGAGCAGCAGTGGGTCGACGGGACAGAGTCACTCACCTCTTGAATACGTGCTCTCGTGAGTGGTCTCCTGGTTTATGTGAGTGCTTTTCGTCACACACAAGACCAGCGCTGGATGCTCTGAGGAGCAGCAGTGGGTCGACGGGACAGAGTCACTCACCTCTTGAATACGTGCTCTCGTGAGTGGTCTCCTGGTTTATGTGAGTGCTTTTCGTCACACACAAGAGCAGCGCTGGATGCTCTGAGGAGCAGCAGTGGGTCGACGGGACAGAGTCACTCACCTCTTGAATACGTGCTCTCGTGAGTGGTCTCCTGGTTTATGTGAGTGCTTTTCGTCACACACAAGACCAGCGCTGGATGCTCTGAGGAGCAGCAGTGGGTCGACGGGACAGAGTCACTCACCTCTTGAATACGTGCTCTCGTGAGTGGTCTCCTGGTTTATGTGAGTGCTTTTCGTCACACACAAGACCAGCGCTGGATGCTCTGAGGAGCAGCAGTGGGTCGACGGGACAGAGTCACTCACCTCTTGAATACGTGCTCTCGTGAGTGGTCTCCTGGTTTATGTGAGTGCTTTTCGTCACACACAAGAGCAGCGCTGGATGCTCTGAGGAGCAGCAGTGGGTCGACGGGACAGAGTCACTCACCTCTTGAATACGTGCTCTCGTGAGTGGTCTCCTGGTTTATGTGAGTGCTTTTCGTCACACACAAGAGCAGCGCTGGATGCTCTGAGGAGCAGCAGTGGGTCGACGGGACAGAGTCACTCACCTCTTGAATACGTGCTCTCGTGAGTGGTCTCCTGGTTTATGTGAGTGCTTTTCGTCACACACAAGACCAGCGCTGGATGCTCTGAGGAGCAGCAGTGGGTCGACGGGACAGAGTCACTCACCTCTTGAATACGTGCTCTCGTGAGTGGTCTCCTGGTTTATGTGAGTGCTTTTCGTCACACACAAGACCAGCGCTGGATGCTCTGAGGAGCAGCAGTGGGTCGACGGGACAGAGTCACTCACCTCTTGAATACGTGCTCTCGTGAGTGGTCTCCTGGTTTATGTGAGTGCTTTTCGTCACACACAAGACCAGCGCTGGATGCTCTGAGGAGCAGCAGTGGGTCGACGGGACAGAGTCACTCACCTCTTGAATACGTGCTCTCGTGAGTGGTCTCCTGGTTTATGTGAGTGCTTTTCGTCACACACAAGACCAGCGCTGGATGCTCTGAGGAGCAGCAGTGGGTCGACGGGACAGAGTCACTCACCTCTTGAATACGTGCTCTCGTGAGTGGTCTCCTGGTTTATGTGAGTGCTTTTCGTCACACACAAGACCAGCGCTGGATGCTCTGAGGAGCAGCAGTGGGTCGACGGGACAGAGTCACTCACCTCTTGAATACGTGCTCTCGTGAGTGGTCTCCTGGTTTATGTGAGTGCTTTTCGTCACACACAAGACCAGCGCTGGATGCTCTGAGGAGCAGCAGTGGGTCGACGGGACAGAGTCACTCACCTCTTGAATACGTGCTCTCGTGAGTGGTCTCCTGGTTTATGTGAGTGCTTTTCGTCACACACAAGACCAGCGCTGGATGCTCTGAGGAGCAGCAGTGGGTCGACGGGACAGAGTCACTCACCTCTTGAATACGTGCTCTCGTGAGTGGTCTCCTGGTTTATGTGAGTGCTTTTCGTCACACACAAGAGCAGCGCTGGATGCTCTGAGGAGCAGCAGTGGGTCGACGGGACAGAGTCACTCACCTCTTGAATACGTGCTCTCGTGAGTGGTCTCCTGGTTTATGTGAGTGCTTTTCGTCACACACAAGAGCAGCGCTGGATGCTCTGAGGAGCAGCAGTGGGTCGACGGGACAGAGTCACTCACCTCTTGAATACGTGCTCTCGTGAGTGGTCTCCTGGTTTATGTGAGTGCTTTTCGTCACACACAAGAGCAGCGCTGGATGCTCTGAGGAGCAGCAGTGGGTCGACGGGACAGAGTCACTCACCTCTTGAATACGTGCTCTCGTGAGTGGTCTCCTGGTTTATGTGAGTGCTTTTCGTCACACACAAGAGCAGCGCTGGATGCTCTGAGGAGCAGCAGTGGGTCGACGGGACAGAGTCACTCACCTCTTGAATACGTGCTCTCGTGAGTGGTCTCCTGGTTTATGTGAGTGCTTTTCGTCACACACAAGACCAGCGCTGGATGCTCTGAGGAGCAGCAGTGGGTCGACGGGACAGAGTCACTCACCTCTTGAATACGTGCTCTCGTGAGTGGTCTCCTGGTTTATGTGAGTGCTTTTCGTCACACACAAGAGCAGCGCTGGATGCTCTGAGGAGCAGCAGTGGGTCGACGGGACAGAGTCACTCACCTCTTGAATACGTGCTCTCGTGAGTGGTCTCCTGGTTTATGTGAGTGCTTTTCGTCACACACAAGAGCAGCGCTGGATGCTCTGAGGAGCAGCAGTGGGTCGACGGGACAGAGTCACTCACCTCTTGAATACGTGCTCTCGTGAGTGGTCTCCTGGTTTATGTGAGTGCTTTTCGTCACACACAAGAGCAGCGCTGGATGCTCTGAGGAGCAGCAGTGGGTCGACGGGACAGAGTCACTCACCTCTTGAATACGTGCTCTCGTGAGTGGTCTCCTGGTTTATGTGAGTGCTTTTCGTCACACACAAGAGCAGCGCTGGATGCTCTGAGGAGCAGCAGTGGGTCGACGGGACAGAGTCACTCACCTCTTGAATACGTGCTCTCGTGAGTGGTCTCCTGGTTTATGTGAGTGCTTTTCGTCACACACAAGAGCAGCGCTGGATGCTCTGAGGAGCAGCAGTGGGTCGACGGGACAGAGTCACTCACCTCTTGAATACGTGCTCTCGTGAGTGGTCTCCTGGTTTATGTGAGTGCTTTTCGTCACACACAAGAGCAGCGCTGGATGCTCTGAGGAGCAGCAGTGGGTCGACGGGACAGAGTCACTCACCTCTTGAATACGTGCTCTCGTGAGTGGTCTCCTGGTTTATGTGAGTGCTTTTCGTCACACACAAGAGCAGCGCTGGATGCTCTGAGGAGCAGCAGTGGGTCGACGGGACAGAGTCACTCACCTCTTGAATACGTGCTCTCGTGAGTGGTCTCCTGGTTTATGTGAGTGCTTTTCGTCACACACAAGAGCAGCGCTGGATGCTCTGAGGAGCAGCAGTGGGTCGACGGGACAGAGTCACTCACCTCTTGAATACGTGCTCTCGTGAGTGGTCTCCTGGTTTATGTGAGTGCTTTTCGTCACACACAAGAGCAGCGCTGGATGCTCTGAGGAGCAGCAGTGGGTCGACGGGACAGAGTCACTCACCTCTTGAATACGTGCTCTCGTGAGTGGTCTCCTGGTTTATGTGAGTGCTTTTCGTCACACACAAGACCAGCGCTGGATGCTCTGAGGAGCAGCAGTGGGTCGACGGGACAGAGTCACTCACCTCTTGAATACGTGCTCTCGTGAGTGGTCTCCTGGTTTATGTGAGTGCTTTTCGTCACACACAAGAGCAGCGCTGGATGCTCTGAGGAGCAGCAGTGGGTCGACGGGACAGAGTCACTCACCTCTTGAATACGTGCTCTCGTGAGTGGTCTCCTGGTTTATGTGAGTGCTTTTCGTCACACACAAGACCAGCGCTGGATGCTCTGAGGAGCAGCAGTGGGTCGACGTTCTTCTCCTTCCCCCCCTCTCCTCTGCCCACCCTTGACCGTACCCATATGCAATCACCCACCGTCCCGCTCTCTTTTCAGTGTATGGGAGCTGGTCAAAGAGCTCACAGGCGGATCAAACAGCCCAGTGTCGCCCTTCTTTCCTGCCGCCGCTGGTGCTGCTACACCTGAGCCAATTCAAAGTAGCCACCTGGCAGACCGGCTAGTGCAGGTCAGTCCTCAGATTTGAATCGGATGCTGCGAACCTGAGAATTTAAACATTGTGCACTGTTGACTCGCTGTTGCACTGTTGACTCGCTGTTGCACTGTTGACTCGCTGTTGCACTGTTGACTCGATGTTGCACTGTTGACTCGCTGTTGCACTGTTGACTCGCTGTTGCACTGTTGACTCGCTGTTGCACTGTTGACTCGCTGTTGCACTGTTGACTCGCTGTTGCACTGTTGACTCGCTGTTGCACTGTTGACTCGCTGTTGCACTGTTGACTCGCTGTTGCACTGTTGACTCGCTGTTGCACTGTTGACTCGCTGTTGCACTGTTGACTCGCTGTTGCACTGTTGACTCGCTGTTGCACTGTCGGAGCAAACATGGCATGGTGAGAAAACATGGCATGGTGAGAAAACATGGCATGGTGAGAAAACATGGCATGGTGAGGAAACATGGCATGGTGAGAAAACATGGCATGGTGAGGAAACATGGCATGGTGAGAAAACATGGCATGGTGAGAAAACATGGCATGGTGAGAAAACATGGCATGGTGAGAAAACATGGCATGGTGAGAAAACATGGCATGGTGAGAAAACATGGCATGGTGAGAAAACATGGCATGGTGAGGAAACATGGCATGGTGAGAAAACATGGCATGGTGAGAAAACATGGCATGGTGAGAATACATGGCATGGTGAGAAAACATGGCATGGTGAGAAAACATGGCATGGTGAGAAAACATGGCATGGTGAGAAAACATGGCATGGTGAGAAAACATGGCATGGTGAGAAAACATGGCATGGTGAGAAAACATGGCATGGTGAGAAAACATGGCATGGTGAGAAAACATGGCATGGTGAGAAAACATGGCATGGTGAGAAAACATGGCATGGTGAGAAAACATGGCATGGTGAGAAAACATGGCATGGTGAGAAAACATGGCATGGTGAGAAAACATGGCATGGTGAGAAAACATGGCATGGTGAGAAAACATGGCATGGTGAGAAAACATGGCATGGTGAGAAAACATGGCATGGTGAGAAAACATGGCATGGTGAGAAAACATGGCATGGTGAGAAAACATGGCATGGTGAGAAAACATGGCATGGTGAGAAAACATGGCATGGTGAGAAAACATGGCATGGTGAGAAAACATGGCACGGTTTTACACCATGTGTGAGAGTTCGAGTGTGCAAACTTTTGAGGCGCCTCAAAAGTCATCACAGTGAGCGAACATGGCACAGTTGTACACAATGTGTGAGAGCTCGAGTAGGGTGCAGTGTGCAAACACACAAGCTGTGTCTGACGTTTGTTGGGCGGAACCTGTTGCAGCAGTGACCAATCACATAAGAAACTTATGGCTATAGATCCTCCACTCCACTTGTCTCACTTGTTGTTCAATTCCTTGTATCCTCTTCTCTTGTTGGCTCCCCATCACTCTCAGGCCTTGCTCCACACCTCATCGCAGTACCCCCGTGTCTTCCTCGCTCTCTCTCATCTCATGGTAAGCCACAGTCAGCTGCTGTAGCCAGTGTCGGTTTTTGTACCTAGTATCAGTGGCTCCCTTGCGGTGCTAATGAGGCATGGTAAACGGCTTATGTCCCAGGAGCTCTGCCACTGCCTCCGCTACAGTGCGATTGCATCTGCTTATCCAAAAAGCTTTACCAGGAACTCTTGCTTCGAGTCAATACATGTGTGCCTCTTGATGCATTTTCCTTTCCAACTCAACTTAGATAAGTCTGGTACATGCCGGAGTGGTTAACCACTCCGGCATGATTTGTATGAATTTTTACGAATCATCTCCGTCTTTCTCAGGTCCTTCCGGCCACCTGACAATTTGTCCTGCTATCCCCTTCCGTTCCCATCCCATCCCACTGGCAGGCTCGTGTGCTTCAGAACCGGTCTCTACCCTTCAGAGAAGCACACATCTCGGCACTCATTAGCTGCTTGCAACAAGTCTCCCCGGAGTCACTTTCGCAACAGCACGCTGGCTTTAAGAATTCTCCCACTGTCACCGCAAGTGCCTTGCCTGACACGGACAGCCAAGGAGGCATGGGGCAGGCATCGCTATGTGATCATTTGAGCAGCCTCAAGCTGGCACTGGCCAAGGAATTGAGTGCCAAGATCATGTTCCTCTGACCCATTTCATTCACTCGCAAGCCCACGTTGTGATCAACACGCACAGCCAAGGAGGCTTGGAGCAGGAAGCATTGCAAGATCATTTGGATGGCATCAAATTGGCGCTTTGACCGTAACTCCGGTTTTTCCAGACCAGATTCCTCAAAAGCAGTCAGGGGTGGGTGGGATCTCTTGGATTGGGTGCCAAGATCCTGTTTCTGCGACTGCACCATAGTACAAATTTCAGATTTTCCATTTCTCAAAGTAAATGGTATACCTATGACCATGGATGGATGGCTGACATTGTTGGTGGTGGCCATTTTACTGGGTGAGGGTATATTTTCGACCAAAAGTTATTTTGGAAAGCCGGGGCACACTAGTTTAAGGGAAAATATGTCAATGGTAACTTACATGGGGAACTATAACGCGTACAGTAACGGTTTCAACGCATTTGGTAACTCGCTTAACGCGTTTGGTAAGTCGCTTAACACGTTTGGTAACTCGCTTAACGCATTTGGTAACTCTACACTAGCAGCCCATCACGCGAATGGTAACTACATGAAATTCCCGCTGAAATTTTCCTGACAATAAGAAATTTATCAAGTTTGAGAGCTTTTACGCACATTATTATCTTTCGTGAACAAGTCTCGCCGCGAATTCAAAGGACCCCGTTTGTTTTCATACCACGGACCAGAAAGTTTCAGAGCCATTTTATATTTATAGGTAACTCATACAAAAATGGACAAAATCATATTTTTGATAGCATGATTGCGGACTTGCAAAAGGATAAAAAAACATTTCTCGAAAGGACATTGGGAATTTTACCTTTTTTTAATAATGAAACGTCGGAGAATTTTTGCATGTGGGGAAAGTAAACCTTTTTAAAATTCCATCTTTCATTCTTTAAAAAAAAAGATCCATAAACGCCTGGTTGCAAGAAGTTTAGGGTTGTTGCTCTCAAATTCATGGTTGTTGCGCTCAAAATTATTTGCCATCGGAAAGGGATATATATATTTGTTTGCCCCGGCTGCACGATAGAATAAAGTACAAAACGTTTGCGGAAAAAGCGCCAAAATATTATTTATGTCTGAACAACTGTTTTCATAACGCTTACGTTTTAGAAATTATCTGGAAAATCGGAAAGTGTGTCAGGATTTCGGAAAGTTTGTCAGAATTTCGGAAATTGTGTCAGAATCTCGGAGAGTGTGTCAGACGTTTCTACTTCACGATTCGTCAATTTATTCTGACGCGAGCGGGAAAAACCAGAATCAGGCTCAATTTCGGCGGGAATTTCATGTAGTTACCATTCGCGTGATGGGCTGCTAGTGTAGAGTTACCAAATGCGTTAAGCGAGTTACCAAACGTGTTAAGCGACTTACCAAACGCGTTAAGCGAGTTACCAAACGCGTTGAAATCGTTATCGTACGCGTTATAGTTCCCCATGTAAGTTACCATTGACATATTTTCCCCTAGTTTAACTTCTTTGGTTTTTAGTTGTTCACCTCTCCGTTAATCTAGACTTGAGACTTGTATCATGAATTGGTGTTGATGAGACTGATGGCAGTCGCTGGAGCTGTCGCGAAGCGAGACGAGGGGAGGGAATTCAGGGAATGCGCTTCCCGCCCTTTCTGAAGCTCACCAACGGCTACTTCACCCTAGCGCGTCATAATCTCGGCTGGAGGTGCCAACGAAGGAAGGGTGCGCCAACAACGGAAGGGTGCGCCAACAACGAAAGGGTGCGCCAACCTTTTCTGATAGCTGACTGACGGATGTACGTCCTGCTTGGCTGGGTGAGCTTGACATTTTCAGTAAAATCAGTCACCCCAGCGACCGGTTTAGACATTAGTATTACCATTAGTTGTTTCTCGGAACCATTACAGTGCCCAGCTTCAAGTTCCAGCAGAGCAGACATGAGTGTCATTTTGAGCTGAACTTTCAACCATGGATTCTCGTGCGCACATCAACAGACTGTCTGACGATCTGCTTATTAGGATTCTATGGCATACCTCCAGAACGCCGCTGTCTGCTGTTTTCAATCATGATGCTACATACGACGATGCTACAACGTGCAATGATGATACGTGCGACAATGCTCCATGCGACGTTGGCGACTCTTTGTGTCCGAGGCAGAAATACTTCTGGACTAAAGTTCCGCCCACGGGTTCAGGCAGTAGCGAACACAACTATCCCGTACCGGCACCTCCTGCCTTCACCGACGCTGCTCTTGGTCTCCTCATCGCTGCCGTCTGCCGTCGCTGGCGCCGTCTTTCCCAGCGTTACATCTCGACGCTTCTCGTCAGGGAAATTCTCGCCGTTTCCCGCCAAGACCTCACCAGCGCTGTCTCGTGCTTCCCGAACCTCACTCACCTTCATCTGTGCGACGGAAGCGTGGAGACTGTAGACGACGCCTTCCTCTCTCACCTCGCCGCGTCATGCCCTAAGCTAACGGTCTTCCACGTGGGAAGCAGGATCGTGAAAGATGCGGATGTCGACGAGATGAGACGCTTACACCCGATTACAAAATCCGGCTTGGATCGCTTTTTTCAGGGATGCACGCAGCTGGAGGTTATCTCCTTCGATCGCCTTGCATCCGCTCTTCACCCGAAAATCGTATTCCCGGCTTCATTCTTCCAGCTCTCGCGACTCCGCACTCTCGTTCTCCCGGACGCTTCAGCGCTGACCGCTCCGGGGTTTTCGACTCTTTCGTCTCTCAGCTCGATCCGCATAACCTCTCTGAAGCTGCGCTTTCACCATCTTGTGAATCTCGTCCACCTGCCGCGGCTTACCAGCCTGGCCATCAGCTACGACCCTGAAGTGGCGAAAACAACTGAAACGTTTTCCGTCTCACAGCTGCCGTTTCTGAAATCGCTGCAGCTCGACGGGGAGTTTTCTCCTTTCTTCTGGTTTCTTCCCTCGGGATTGCCGTGCACCAGGCTGGAACGGCTGGTGCTTGCGGATTGCACCTTCCTTGACCAGCTTCCGGACGACCTTGGAGAGATTGTCCCGTGTCTCCGCGAGCTAACGCTTAGCTGGTGCTCTGGACTCACCCGACTGCCCGAAGAATTCACGTCTCTGACCCGGTTAGAGAGCCTGACAATCTCCTCATGCCCCAACTTGTCCAGCCTGCCCAACAACTTCGGTGACTTATCTGCTCTGAAAAAAACTGTTTCTGCGCACGCTGCCTCTGGCCAGCCTCCCTGACTCTTTCGGGCATCTCGAATCCTTAACGACACTTACCATGTACATGCTCCCTCTCACGGAACTGCCGGACTCCTTCGCTTATCTCACCTCCCTGCAGACCCTGTTCATGGTTGGTTGCCGCCAATTGCGCCAGCTTCCAGAGAACTTTGGCCGTTTGGAAGCTCTTAAGACGCTGTGCATGGTGAAGCTGCCGTTAGTGAGGCTTCCTGAAGGCTTGGGGGGAATGGCTGCCATCCAGACTATTTTCCCGAATGAAGTGTTTAATCCGCTGCAGCTCCCGGGTTCGCTCAGCCAGTTGACTTCGTTGACCCGGCTTGACATCGATCTGGCTTCAAATGAGAAGCTTCCGGAGGGCATTGAGAAGCTGAATCAGCTGCGGCAGCTGAATATCCAGTGCTGTTTCAATCTCAGGGAGATTCCAGAATCCGTGACAGGTCTGACCAATTTAGACACCCTGACAGTTGGGATGTGCAGCGAGCTCGTTTCATTTCCCAAGAAGCTGGACACCCTTGTAAAGCTCAGGCAGTTGCAGCTGACGGGATGTCATCCGTCCATGTGGTTGAACGGACCTCCTACTTCCCTGCCGTCCTCTCTTGAGTCCCTGAGCCTTGGAAGTTACTACCAGACCACTCTTCTGCCTAAACTCCCTTCGCTGCCGAATCTCAAGAAGCTGACATTGAATCTGGTCAATGTGGAGTGTGGGGAAGCTGATGTGTCTGAAACCAGTGCTTTGCCTCGGTTAGAGTATCTGGAGTTGGTGTTAGCAGAAGATGCAAGGGAGCTCTCATTCCCCTTTGCTTCTCTCCCCCAGCTGCGAGCCCTCGTAATCTCCAGGGCTGGTAACATTGAGACGCTTCCAGGAAGCATCGGCTCAGACCTGAAGCAGCTCCGACGTTTGCAGATAGAGCATGCAGCAGAACTGAAAGTGCTGCCAGAAACGATCTCTCAGCTTGTGCATCTGACCTCCTTGGACGTTCATGCACCCAAGCTCACCTCCCTTACCACCAGCATCGGTGCATTATTCAGGTTACGGGAGCTGAACCTCTCTGATTGTTCTGAACTGGAAAGTCTCCCAGCTTCCCTCACCCAGCTCGCCTGCCTGAGCAAGTTGAGTGTTGAAAACACTGCCATCCGCTCGCTTCCAGGAAACTTCGCGCAGCTGACCCGGCTCAAGAGGCTGGACCTGTTTCAGTGTGAGCATTTGGAGGATTTGCCGGAAGATTTTCCAGAGCTCAAGATGCTGCAGGTTCTGAGGTTAGGTGGCTGCACGAATGAAGTGAACAGGGAACAGCAACGGATCTTGAGAGACCGTGGCATTGACGTCATGTATGGGTTACGACTAGGTTGGTGATCCGAAGTTAGTCGTGTTGCGTGGCATGTCATGGGGGGTTGGTTGCTGGGTGCCTTGCATTAGTTGGGAGACTGTGCAGCTGTGCTTGAATGGACTAGACAATGGATGGTGGAGGCTTGATGACATGTTTTGGCACTTTAGAGGGTTTTAGGGGTAAATGCTACAGGTGCTGAATGTGCTGAATAGTGAACATGCCAATGGATTTCTTTGTTTTCTGATAGTTACCTTACCAAAGTGGTTGCCAGATAAATGTTAGAACAACCAACACATAAAACATCTGAACATCCCAAGCACATACGTCTGCTACTTTCTAATGACATATTCCCACAAAAACCACCCAAAACCTGTAGGCTCAATACCTTTCCTTCCCCTCCACTCCCCTATTCTCCCACCTCTCCCACCCCGACCCTTCAGCTCTTCCCATAGAACCTCAGGGTCACATACACCAACCAGCGTATGGTACCAGTGTGGTACCTTACAGTTCCTCCCCTTCACCCCCTTCTTCCTCCCTTCCTCCCCCTCCCCCCCCTCCCTCCCCTCCACTCTCCCCTCCCTCCCTTCCCCCCTCATTCCCTCCTTCCTTCACATATCGCCTCTGCTGGGGATTGTAAACAGAAAACTTCCCAAACTGCCGTCGCCCCAGGTGCTGCACGTCCCACCCGGGCGGCAGGAAGCACGGCTGTAGCGCCGCCACAAACACCTCCTTCCACTGCTGCTCCTCTGCAGCACTTCAGAAAACGTTTTACAATGGCTTAAAGCCCCGCCTCTTCTTCCTGTTCCTCCCCTTCTCCCTCGTCTCCTCCCTCTCCTCCCTCTCCTCCCTCCTCCACCCTCCCTCCCCCATTCCTTCCTCCCTCATCAGCCTTCACATATCTCCTCCTCTGTGGATTATAAACAGAAAACTCCCCAAACTGCCGTCGCCCCAGGTGCTGCACGTCCCACCCGGGCGGCAGGAAGCGCGGCTGTAGCGCTGCCACAAACACCTCCCTCCACTGCTGCGTGAACTCCCTTATCCCCGCCTCCCCACCCCCCTCCAGCAGCAGCGCTACAACCTTGGTTCCGTGCTCCCAGTGGCCCCGCAAGGGGACTGGCTCGATGATGGGGGTTGCAGAGAGGTTGAGTGCGGTGAGATCAGGTGGTAATTCCAGACTGCCCTCCTCTTCAGACCTGCCAGATTGCTCGCTCACTCCCTCGCTCACTCCTTCACTCACTCCCTTGCTTGCACCAGGATCCACCCCATTGACCCCACTTGAGTCGCCTACTCCCTCTGCTTGCACACCCTCTTTTCCCCCGCCCCCCTCGCCATCTCCTGCTTTTCCCTCTCCTCCCCCTCCCCCTCCTCCCAGCCCAGCTAAGGCTTTTTGTAGAGCCTCCCGCTGGCCCACAATGGGCAGCCCTTTTCTCTTTCCTGCCCGCACTCTGGTCCCTTTCCCTGCCTGCACCACCATCTCCAGCTCCTCGATTTTCACCGGGCCGCCCGCTGCCCGCTTCAAAACTTTCCACACGGGCAGCAGAAGCTCGCAGAGCCTGCTTTCGGGCAGGGAGGCCCCGTGCCGTAATACCGCCACCGCTGACCGGGCAGCATCATTCAAAAGAAACGCTGCTTCCACTCTCGCATCCCTTCCCCCATTCCGCTCACCGCTCACACTCCCCTCACCCACCATCTCCCCACCTCCCTCCTCCTCCCCACCCTCTCCCTTCTCCCTCCCAGCCCCATTCCCAACTACGCTCTCCCCCTCACCCGCCCCTTCTCCTCCCCTCTCACCCCCGCCCTCACCCGACCCTCCGCCGAGCCTCCGATCCAGCGGCGACAGCAGCAGCGGAACCCCGAACCTCCTCGCGACCTCCCGCTTGTGAATCTCAGCCGCACGATGTGCCACGTCATGGCAATCAACGCACAGCAGCACAATATCGTGACTCCGGTGCGACTTCAGATGCTCGGGAAACGCATGGCGGTAGCAGGAGGGCACGAGGCGGTAGCGCAGGTAGTGGGTGGATTCGCCGCAAGAGACGCAGCGGTTGGACTTGGATTGGATGTAAAACTCGTTCTCGTCGTCTTCTGGACGGCCCTTGGGTTGGAAGAGCAGGCGGACGGAGAGAGGTGAGGCGAGGTTGGCGGGGAGTGGTGCGGGTGGTGGTGGGTCTGTTGTTGCTGCAGAGGCGGTGCTGTCAGCAGTGGCAGCAGCAGCACCGACGGCAGCATCATCAGCATCAGCAGTAGCGGCACCAGCAGAGGCGTTCTCAGGACCTGTAGTGCCATCTGCATCGGCAGTATCATCAGCATCAGCAGCAGGCCCCACTGCGGATTCTCCCTTCACCCCCAACCCCGTCTCCTCAGCTCCCTGCAGTGACGGCAGCATGTCAACGGTCACATACTCAGCCAGTCCCCGCCCCACATACCACTCCAGCTTCCGCTTATCACAGAAGCACAGCAGCCGCCCATCCCCGCTGTAGATCCTACAATTCTCGTACACCGGACCCTGGCAGGAGAATTTCTTTATGAAGTTTGCCCGAGCCTGGTTCGGGTCGCGCGCCCGCTGCCACCGCTTGGGCAGCCGAAAGTTTTGGTGCGGGCGGTGGTGGTGGGGGTGGTGGGGGTGGGTGTGAGGGTGGTTAGGATGTTGGTGGGATGAGTCAGACGGCAAGATTCCCCCTTCCTCTGCAGAACCACTGGCAGCAGCACCAGCAGCAGCAGCAGCAGCAGCAGCGGCAGCAGCAGCAGCGGAGAGGTTGCCTGAAACAGCAGCAGCAGCAGTGAGAGCAACCGCTTCTTCTAACCACGCCTCCTGCACTGCTGCTGGCGCCCTCTGCTGAATGACCACCGGAGCCAGGAGAAATGATATCTCTGCGAGTCTGGCCTGTACTGCTGACGCTGCTGTTGCTGCCCTTTCAGCCACCCCATGCACTGCTGCCGCTGCATCGTTTGGCTCTGCTGATCCAGCTGTACCATGCACCTGCTCGTCGCCGCCTCTCACATCGCGACACGTGGCAGCGATCAGCGCAACCAGCTCAAGAGATCGACGGACGAGAGGAGGCGAGGGGGAAGGTGACGTGGGCTGAGATGGAGTAGCTTGCTCCGCTACTGCTGGCAGGGCAGCTCCTTCTGTTGAATCAAAGGTTCCACTCTCCCCTCCTTGAATAGGACGAGGAACGCCGGCCTCTTCTCGCATAGAGGGCGGCGTGAGAGCAGCAGCGGCTGCCATGGCTTTGGCCACGCAACCAATCAGCTCTTGACACGTGGCAGGCCGTAGGAGCGCCACGGCGACCACTGCCACGTCAGCAAGGAGGAACCGCAGGCTTTCGTCTTCTTCCCGCGCTACAGTGTCGCGCCATCTGGTTACCGCATCAAGCACAGCCCTCACTTCCCGTAACACATGTGACCGATCCGACGTCTTCTGACTTGCTGACGTGGCACCAGCGTCAGGCGCCACAGAGCCAGCACCTGAACCAGCAGAATCACCTGAAAATCCACCTGAAAGCGCAGAACCTCCTACATACCCACAAACGCCCAACAGCTGTCGAAAAAGAGCCGCCGCCGCTGCTGCTGCTGCCGCTTCAGCACTCCCTCCCACCGCTCCAAACCCCCCACGCCCTTGTGCTGCTACCACCTCCTCTCGCTCACCTCGCTCCCTCCCAGCCTCCCCAACTGCACTCCTGTCAGCGCCGGCACTCCTCTCCCCTGGCTTCTCATACAGCTGAAGGCATAGCGCGTTGGACCTCCTCACTGCCTCCTCATACTTGGATCCGCTGCTGTGCCCTGCCCTACACCCTCTCCTGCTTCCTCCTCCTCCTGCTGCTGTTGCTTCTCCCTTTCCATTTGCACCTGCTCCCTCTCCCCCCTCTCCTCCTGTGTCTGCTTGTACCAGCTCCCACCGCAGCCGGCCGGCGATGTACGGCAGGTAGTGCGAGTCCGTGCGCGCGTACTGTAGCATTGTTGGCGGCAGCGGGCGGCGGCGCCAGTCGGCCAGCTGCAGGCGCTTGTCGGTGCTGACGCGGCAGTAGTGGTCCAGGAGGAACGCGAGCGAGCGGTACGGCTTGTTGAGAACCGAGCAGGCCTGCAGGCACAAGGAGAGATTGGAAAATATATATATACTTGCAGTCATCCCAAAAACAAAACAAACTGAAAAGGAGGGAAAGGTGGCCGCAATGAAGAACAGAAAAAGACACAAGCAGAGGTGCGGTGTGAATGATGTGTCAAAGAGGTTGACAGTGTAAACGTGAAAGTCATTTTGCAGCCAGAGCACGTCGGAGTCGGCCCCGTGGAACAGCTTCGTGACGGCCGGGTTGGCAAAGACTGTGCCGGGTTACGGGCACACGAGGGCACCACTAATTTACCCGTGCTGTGTCAAAGAGATTCACGGTGTAAATGTGAAAGTCCCTCTGCAGCCAGAGCACGTCGGAGTCAGCCCCGTGGAACAGCTTCGTGATTGCCGGGTTGGCAAATACAGGCCGGAGGGCGTCCCCTATGTGGTCGTGCAGGGCAATGGCGTCGATTATGTAGTCAGTGCCATCTCGGGTGGAGATCTGGCAGGGAGACAGGGAGCAGAATGGGGTTTCACAATGGTCAGACTGACTCAACAGGCCGGAGGCCGTTCCCTATGGGGTCGTGCAGCGCAATGGAGTCGATGATAAAGTCCTCCCCACCCCGGGTGGAGATCTGTAGAGGAAAGCGGGTGCGGAAGGGGGTTTCACATATCAGATTGAATAATCAGGCAGAGGGCGCCCCCTATGTGGCCGTGCAGGGCAATGGCGTCCATAATAAAGTCCCTGCGGACCCTAGCTGGTGCTTGTTGGACACCCGGTGTGACGGAGCGGAAGCAATAAGAAGTCAGCAGAGACCCACCCACCCAACGCACCTGGATCAAGGCGGTGAAGCCTAGAAAGGACCGGTGGCTGTGCTGCTCTGTGTCCACTGCGAATTCGTCCTGGCTCTCTAGCAGCGCTGCTAGGGATGCTAGCTGGTGCTTCGTGGATACCCAGTGGAAGGAGGATGGGGAGGAGTTTGTTGTGACACCAGGGTCATTCAGAGGTGGTGGTGGTGTGGTGCCAGGTGGCAGCACGTGGTTGGGTGGAGGAGGATTGTGGATAAGGTGGCGGATCTCGTCGCCAAATGGGTGTACATCTCCTGGTTATCAAGAAATGGGTGTAGAAGGGGAAGAAAGGACGAATTGGATGCAACCTGAAAGAGGCGGATGTGATAGATATGGAACGCCACAGAACACTGAAAAGTCCTTGTGAAACAAAAGAGCTGGAAACAAACAACAAGAACAGGGTTGAGAAAGAGCAATGGGTTCAGAAAACGCACCTGGTTCCTCACTCTCGCCCTCATCCTCGTTACAAGCCGATTCATTTCGTTTCAGGTGCTGGAACGGAGATCTTGAGTTATCAGCAAGAACCCTACGAAACGCTCTCTGCGGCTTCTCATCCCCTTCTCCCTCCGCTCCTTCCTCCTCCTCCCACTCATCCTCCTCATCCCCGTCATCGCCTTCCTGGCTGTCTTCTTCGCCTGCCACGTGGACATGTTTTTCTCCTCCATCTGCCCGGCGACCATTGCGTTTCTTCCTCCTGTTATTACTCAGCTTCCCGGTTCCGGATTTCACGCCGCATTCGCCGCTTCCGACCCGCTTCCCGAGCCACCAGCTGCCGCTCCAGCTTGTGCCGCCAGATGCGCCATCGGATGCGCTGGACCATCGGATAGCCACCCAGTGTAGTGCGACGACGGAAGTTGCGACAACGACTGCGACGAAAAGCGGCGATACCTTCCCGCCGGCGACATCCGTGAATGTCGGCAGACCCATTGGAAGTTCAACCGGCTAGAGAAACGTAGGAAGCGTCACGCTGACCGTCCACAACAGTTCGACGTAGGTAGCGTAGGAGCTACAAGCACGACTTCTGGAAACTGCACGTTTCAGCCCGTTACCACATCAGGGTATGATTTCCGTGCTTCACGCTGCGTGAGAAATTGGGATCTCATACGCGTTATTGGTGCCAAGGCACACACGACTTGCAGGAACTGCAAGGATCCAAGAGCCCATGAAATCGGTTGAACACGATGGTGTTAAATTCACCGCCTTGAACCGCGCTATTCGCCTTTTTTTCAAACTTTGAACCGATCTGAACAGAAGCCGCAGTGGTGATTGATGTGTTGCGTGGCAGACAAGCGAAACCGCACAACCATGATACACTGAGCAGATATACGCGCCATTGAGAGCTCCGCTACAAAATAAGCTTTAGCAAGTATAAGCAGATGGTTGAATCGGATAGTGACAAATGGTACAAAAGCTGGAAGAAGCTAGGAAATGTGTATCATTCATATTGAGTGAAGGCAATATATAATAGGAATCGTAGCCCCATCAGATCCCTTTTCTTCTTGCAAACTCCTCTGCGGTGACCACTTCCCACCCCTCGCCGTCCTCGTCAAATGCTAGAACCAGCGTGTGGAACTTGATCAAGCTCGTCCTGTGTCCCACACTGACAAACGACTTCACCCTCTCGCGCATCATCCCATACAGCCGTGCCTCGTTCGCCCCATCCAACGCACTCGTCGCCTCGTCCAAAAACGCCATGTATGGCTGCTGCAGAAGAAGACGAGCGAACGCCACCCGCTGCTGCTCCCCCATAGAAAGCATGTCGGAATAGTCACACTCCACAGCGAGCCCTCCCACCCGTTCAGCCAGATCTGGAAGTGAAACCTCCTGAAGCGCATGCAATAGCTCTTTGTCCGAAAAATCACCCCTCACACTCCTCCCTCCCTCCTCACCGTTGCTCCCATCTCCCTCCATCCCTCCGCCTCCTCCCCCTCCTCCGCCCTCTCCCCCTCCACCTCCCTCCAGAGCATTTCCTGGGAAAACCAACTGGTCCCGGAGCGTCCCTAGTGGCATATACGGCTTCTGGGGCAGGAAAAAAGTTTTCCCGGGCGGCGGAGACTCGATGGTTCCCTCTCCGGATTTCCACAGGCCGGCGATGGCTCGCAGGAGGGAGGATTTTCCGCAGCCCGAAGGGCCCATGACGAGGAGGGAGGCGCCGGGGGGGAGGGAGAAGGAGAGGGAGGAGGGGTAGAGCGTGTGGCGGAGGTTGGGCGTGCGGATGACTACGGAGGTGAGTGTGAGGCACGGACCTTCAATGCGCTGAATGCGACCTGGTGCGAGGGAATAGGGGGGGCGAGGCAGGAAGGGGAAGAAGAGGGGAGAAGAGAGAAAAGAGGGATGATTGCAATCATCAGAGGCGCAAGGGTTGATTTGAAGGGAATTTTTCCGCAGCCCGAAGGGCCCATGACGAGGAGTGAGGCGCCGGGGGGGAGGGAGACAGAGAGGGAGGAGGGGTAGAGCGTGTGTTGGAGGTTGGGTGTGCGGATGACTACAGAGGTGAGTGTGAGGCACGGACCTTCTATGCACTGAATGCGACCTGGTGGGAGGGAATGGGGAGGGGAAGACGACGAAAGGGGAGGAAAAACAATGGTTAGAGATGGATGAGGGTTGGTTCAGGGGTGAAAACTGGGGATGGCTATCCAGTGAGTGTGAGGCACGGACCTTCTATGCGCTGAATGCGACCTGGTGCGAGGGAATGGGGAGCGGACGGAAGAGGGGAGAATAGGGAAGAAAGGGGATGCTTGAAATCACTAGAGGGGTAGGGTCTGAATCGGAGGTTGGGTGTGCGGATGATGACAGAGGTGACAGCGAGGCAAGATGAGCAAGTAAAGGCGAGGTAAGATTAGCAACCAATAGAAGGTTGGGACGATTTTTGAGTCGACTAAAAAGTTGTCTCATCACACAAGATGAGCAACTAAAGGCGAGGTAAGATGAGCAACCAAGAGAAGGTTGGGGTTGTTTCAAGGTTGGTGGTGGGGATTGGGAAAGTGCGCATTAGGATTGGGCGAATTGGGCTTGGGATAGGAAGCGGAGATTGGAGGTGGGGATTGGGATTGGGGATACCAGCATACCTGTTGCAGTGGTGCATTCAATAATATCAGCTTCTTCCCCAGCAGCAGCAGCATCACTGCCACCACCTTTTTTTGTTTTTTTACTTTTGTCAGTGGACTAAAAAAAGATTCGTACCTGTTGCGGTAGTGCATTCAATAACAGCAGCTTCTCTTTCAGCAGCAGCAGCAGCACCACCACCTGTGCCTCCCCCCATAGTGGTCAATTCCAGCAGAGGGGCACCCTCTCCGTGAGAACCACCTGGCAAAACACCTGAAGCAACTGAGCCTGCCGATTTCTGTGCTGCTGATGTGAGAGCAGGTGAGGATTCAGGAGTGTGACGAACGGCAAGCCTCTGTCCCGTGAGAGTAGGAGCAAGAGAGGAGGAGGAGGCGGAGGTGGTATGGGAGGGCTGTAGAGAGAGGGAATGACCGAGAGCCAGAGAGTGAGTGGAGGAGGAGGAATGAGAGGAGGGATCTTCGGTGGTTGACTTAGTGTGAGAGGGGTGAGAGGGGGAGTGAGTGGGGTGGGAGGGGCCGTGGGAGGAGGCATGGGATGAGGCGTGGGAGAAGAGCTTGTTCGAGTCATCTGCTGAAAAGTCGGAGAGGGAGGCGAGTAGGCTCTCCAGACGCTCTGTCTCCGCTGCTAGCTCACTGGGATTGGAGGAAAAAGGGGAGGGAAGGGGGAGGTAGGGAGGAGTCGGGCTCAGGTACAAACAAATGGGGAGAGGAGGAGGCGAGTAGGCTCTCCAGACGCTCTGTCTCCGCTGCTAGCTCACTGGGATTGGACGGCGGGAAAGGGGCGGAAGGGGAAGGAAAGGGAGGTGGGGCGAAAGTAGACCCTCCAGACGCACTGTCTCCGCTAAGCTTACTGTGTGTGGGAGGGACGGGCAGAAAGAGGGGCATGATACCCACGAAATGATACCCAAATAGACACAACGTTTAACTGGAAGCATCCAAACAAACAACAGAACAGACACCTGAGGATATACCTGAAAGCGTGGAAGTGCATGACTATGACACTGAAAGCTTTGTAGTCAGTGTGAAATGCATGGCTGGCCTGAAAAAAACACCTGGGGATTCACCTGAAGGCGTGGAAGTGCATGGCTATGACACTGAGTGCCTTGTAGACGGTGTGAAAGGCATACCTGGCCTGAGGAAGTACAGAAAACACCTGAGGGTTCACCTGAAGGCGTGGAAGTGCATGACTATGACACTGAGAGGCTTGTAGACCGTGTGAAAGACATAGTTGGCCTGAGAAGGTACACAAAAACCTGAGGATTCACCTGAAGGCGTGGAAGTGCATGACAACAACAGTGAGCGCCTTGTAGACCGTGTGAAAGGCATAGCTGGCCTGAGATATCACCCCGAACTCAACCTGGCGCGAGAGAGAAGAGCCGGAGAGAAGGGAGGACGGGGAGAGAGCGAGAGGGAGGGAGAGGGAGAGGGAGAGGAGCACCTGAAGGAGTCACCTTTGTGAGCTCTCAGAAGCGCCCCAACGAACATAGCACCTGAAGGAGTTGAAGTTGAGGACTATGACTGTGAGCGCGCGGTAGATGGTGCTGAAGGCATAGCTGGCCTGTGATATCACCCCAAACTCCACCTGGAGCGAGGAGCCGGGGAGGGAGAAGGGGCAGCGAGGGGCAGAAAGGTGTGGAGAGGGGTGGAGAGGGGTGGAGAGGGGTGGAGAGAGGGTTAGCCCAGCCAACCTGAGGGACGTGAAGTTGGGGACTATGACTGTGAGAGCACGGTAGACGGTGCTGAAGGCATAGCTTGCCTGTGATATCACCCCAAACTCCACCTGGATGGGTGGAGGAGAGGGAGAAGGGGCACAGAGGGGTGGAGAGGGGTGGAGAGAGGGTTAGCCCAGCCCAGCTGAAGGAGTTGAAGTTGAGGACTATGACTGTGAGCGTGTGGTACATGGTGCTGAAGGCATAGCTCGCCTGTGATATCACCCCAAACTCCACCTGCAGTGAGAAGCCTGGGAGGTGGGGAGAGAGGGAGGTGGGGGGAGAGGGAGGTGGGGGGAGAGGGAGGTGGGGGGAGAGGGAGGTGGGGGGAGAGAGAGGTGGGGGGAGAGGGAGGGCGGGAAAGTGGGGAGACAGAGGGGGAGGAAGGGAAGGCTTGCTGTCTGGTAGAAAGGAGGGAGCTCGCATACCACAGGGTGACCACGGGGACAGGGGGGAGGAAGCTGAGAGAAGGAGGGAAGCTGAGAGAAGGAGGGAAGCTGAGAGAAGGAGGGAAGCTGAGAGAAGGAGGGGAACTGAGAGAAGGAGGGGAACTGAGAGAAGGAGGGAAGCTGAGAGGAGGGGAACTGAGAGAAGGTGGGAAGCTGAGAGAAGGAGGGGAACTGAGAGAAGGAGGGAAGCTGAGAGAAGGAGGGGAACTGAGAGAAGGAGGGAAGCTGAGGAAAAGCCACAACAGACCGAAGAGGAACAGTTGTAGTATCAGCCCTGGAGAACCAGTGTAGAGCGACAATGACCGCAGGGACGAATGGTCTAGTCGATATGAGGTGAGGCGAAAGATGAATGGGTGGGACCACAGGGCAAAGGCGGTACTCATGGCGCCGGAGTAGTATTGCGGCGCAGAGCAACAAATGACTGCAGGCTGCAGGGACGAAGATGGTGGCGAAGTCAAGTTGAGATGAGGCGAACGGGTGCAGCCAATGGGTGGGTGGGACCACAGGGAAAGGGCGGCACTCACATCTCCGGAGAAGTAGCGCGGGGAGATGATGACAGCAGGGACGAAGATGGTGGGGAAGTCAGAGAGGTTGGTGAAGAAGGAAGGGTGGGTGAGGGAACAGGGCAAGAGCGGAACTCAGGGCCCCAGGGGAGTGTAGCACTTACATCCCCGGAGAAGTATCGTGGGGCCACGATGACAGCAGGGACGAAGATGGTGGCGAAGTCGTAGAGGTTGGTGAAGAAGGAGAGGTGGAACTGCACCACCAAACGGTTGCGCACATTCAGAGCCACTCTGTGCAGGAAGGACTGGCGGGAACAGATGTGGGGTTGGGGGGAGGAAAGGGTGAAGGGGTACAAAGAAAAGACTTCATTGAAGAAGGAGAGGTGGAAGTGCACCACCAGACGATTACGCACATTCAGAGCCACCCGGTGCAGGAAGGACTGGTGGGAACAAAGGGGCCGGGAGGGTGAGGGATACAAAGAAGAGGCTGCATTGAAGAAGGAGAGGTGGAAGTGCAGCACCAGACCAGACGGTTGCACCCGATCAGAGCGACGCCACGCCAGAGCAACGCCATGCAGGAAGGACTGGTGAGAAGAGCGTGGGACACAGCGTGATGGCCACTCGGTGAACGAAGCTACATACATACCCAGCGCAGAGAAGAGAACGCTTCATTTACATTGAAATCACTTTTGAGAATTCTCAAAAGTGATTTCAATATAGCCGGTGAACGAAGCTACATAATTACTCAGCGCAGAGACGAGAACGCTTCATTTACCCCATTGAAGTTAGCAGCCTACCACCCACCTTGGCCGAGGCCTCCTCCTTGACCTCTTCCCTGTAGAACGCGATTGACTTGACTCAACGTCTTCTTGATGAGGGCTGTTTCCCTCACCCCTCTGCACCCACTCATCCACCTACCAACCTATCTACCACCCACCTTGGCAAATGCCTCCTCCTTGACCTCTCCCTGGTAGAACGCTTCATTTACCTTGGTAGAATGCAATTGACTTGACTCCACGTCGTCCTTCACTCGCACCCATCGAAAAAGCCTATCTTCTCTACCTCTCTCTATCCACTGCTACCTATAACCTACCAATGCTGACGCTCCCCGCTACCTGCCGCTTTGTACCCACCTTGGCCGAGGCCTACTCCTTGACCTCTCCCTGGTAGAACGCGATTGACTTGACTCCACGTTGTCTTTCCTGAGGTGCCCCAGTGAGAGAAGCAAGCTTCCTCATCTGTACCTACCCACCCACCTACCCACCTATCCACCCACCTTGGCGGATGCCTCCTCCTTGACCTCTCCCCGGTAGAACGCGATTGACTCAACATTGTCCTTCACTCGCACCAGGGAGTAACGGAGGTCTGCCTCCCGTTGAAAACCCTGAAATGAACGGGGAGATAAGGGTGGGGTGGGATGGGGTGCGGTGGAATGTGGCGTGGTGTGGTTGACTCCACGTTGACCTTCATTCGCACCAGGGAGTAACGCAGGTCTGCCTCCCGTTGAAAGCCCTGCAGGGGGAGACAGGGGCGGGGTGGGGTAGGGTGTGGTGGGTTGCGGTATGGTGGAGTGTGGTGCGATTGACTCCACGTTGTCCTTCACTCGCACCAGGGAGTACCACACATCTGCCTCGCGTTGAAAACCCTGCACAGGGGGAAATGGGATTAGGGACCGCTCTTCAATGAAAGTTATGGAACCACAGAAAATGGCAGCATGCTGGCCTGGTGAAAGCGACATCCCCCCCAAAGCTGTCCCCAAAGCTGTCCCCAAAGCTGTCCCCTTGCTGCTAAGCCAGCGCCACCTCACCTCAAACTGCAGCCAGGAGAGAAGCCACGTGTATAAAGTGTATTTTTGAGACGTCTCAAAAATACACTTTTTACACGTAGAAAGCGACACCCCCCCTAAAGCTGTCCCCTTGCTGCTAAGCCAGCGCCACCTCACCTCGAACTGCAGCCAGGTGAGTCGCTTGTTGAGTCGACTCAAACACTTTTGCCTGCTGCTAAGCTAAGCCCACCTAAGCCCAACTCCACCTAAGCCCACCTAGCTCCACCTAAGCCCACCTAACTCCACCTAAGCCCACCTAACTCCACCTAAGCCCACCTAACCCCACCTAAGCCTACCTAACCCAACCTTACCTGGAATTGCAGCCAGGTGAGTCGTTTCCCAAACACTCTGACCACCACGAACGTGCCTGACACTGCATAGGCCAGCAGAAACCAGACTAGCGGGGGAGAGATGTCCCTGTGGGGTGGGGAGGGGGGGAGAAGGAGGGGAAAACGGGGGAGGAGGAAGAATGGGCGAGGGGAGAGAGAGGGCGGAGGTGAGGAGCACGTTTAGCTCTCATAATGACTGCAGACAGTCGCTTCTTGAACACTCCGACCACCCCATGACACATGAAGTGACTATCTGCAGTCACTGAGCTGACCAGTCGCATTGGTATAAATGAACCATGAAGCAACGGGTCAGCTCCAGGCACGGAGCTTACCCGCTCTTGCAACGAGGAGAGGCTCACCAGAGCACATAGGCGAAGGCGACCAGGTTCATCACCTTCTCTATTATGTGATAATGATCTACCTGTGATTCTACTGTGGTGATGATGAGAGCAAGTTGGGAAGGGAGCCTCGCTTTTGGAATGTCTGGAACTTACCAGAGCACATAGGCGAAGGCGACCAGGTTCATCATCTTCTCTATCAGAGTGATAATGATCTGGGTGCAGCAAGAACAAGGGGACGGGGAGGGCAAGGGAGAGGAGGGGATGACAGGGCAGAGCAAAGGAAGGGAGGGAGGACAAGACAGGGGAGGGGAGAGGTAGGGGAGGGCAATGCAGGGGAGAGAGAGCGATGGGAGGGCAAGGCAGGGGAGGGGAGGGCAGGCATGGGGGGAGGAAGAAGAGTGATGTGCTTGAGTTGATTCTGCGAAGATACAATTGGTCAAGTTTACCAAGCGTCGAGAATGACCCGGTTTACACTCAGGGGGTCCAGACACAGTGTGCTTGGTAAAGCGAGACACAGTGTGCTTGGTAAAGCGAGACACAGTGTGCTTGGTAAAGCGAGACACAGTGTGCTTGGTAAAGCGAGACACAGTGTGCTTGGTAAAGCGAGACGCAGTGTGCTTGGTAAAGCGAGACGCAGTGTGCTTGGTAAAGCGAGACGCAGTGTGCTTGGTAAAGCGAGACGCAGTGTGCTTGGTAAAGCGAGACGCAGTGTGCTTGGTAAAGCGAGACGCAGTGTGCTTGGTAAAGCGAGACGCAGTGTGCTTGGTAAAGCGAGACGCAGTGTGCTTGGTAAAGCGAGACGCAGTGTGCTTGGTAAAGCGAGACGCAGTGTGCTTGGTAAAGCGAGACGCAGTGTGCTTGGTAAAGCGAGACGCAGTGTGCTTGGTAAAGCGAGACGCAGTGTGCTTGGTAAAGCGAGACGCAGTGTGCTTGGTAAAGCGAGACGCAGTGTGCTTGGTAAAGCGAGACGCAGTGTGCTTGGTAAAGCGAGACGCAGTGTGCTTGGTAAAGCGAGACGCAGTGTGCTTGGTAAAGCGAGACGCAGTGTGCTTGGTAAAGCGAGACGCAGTGTGCTTGGTAAAGCGAGACGCAGTGTGCTTGGTAAAGCGAGACGCAGTGTGCTTGGTAAAGCGAGACGCAGTGTGCTTGGTAAAGCGAGACGCAGTGTGCTTGGTAAAGCGAGACGCAGTGTGCTTGGTAAAGCGAGACGCAGTGTGCTTGGTAAAGCGAGACGCAGTGTGCTTGGTAAAGCGAGACGCAGTGTGCTTGGTAAAGCGAGACGCAGTGTGCTAGGTAAAGCGAGACGCAGTGTGCTTGGTAAAGCGAGACGCAGTGTGCTTGGTAAAGCGAGACACAGTGTGCTTGGTAAAGCGAGACGCAGTGTGCTTGGTAAAGCGAGACGCAGTGTGCTTGGTAAAGCGAGACGCAGTGTGCTTGGTAAAGCGAGACGCAGTGTGCTTGGTAAAGCGAGACGCAGTGTGCTTGGTAAAGCGAGACGCAGTGTGCTTGGTAAAGCGAGACACAGTGTGCTTGGTAAAGCGAGACACAGTGTGCTTGGTAAAGCGAGACACGGTGTGCTTGGTAAAGCGAGACACGGTGTGCTTGGTAAAGCGAGACACGGTGTGCTTGGTAAAGCGAGACACGGTGTGCTTGGTAAAGCGAGACACGGTGTGCTTGGTAAAGCGAGACGCAGTGTGCTTGGTAAAGCGAGACGCAGTGTGCTTGGTAAAGCGAGACACGGTGTGCTTGGTAAAGCGAGACACGGTGTGCTTGGTAAAGCGAGACACGGTGTGCTTGGTAAAGCGAGACACGGTGTGCTTGGTAAAGCGAGACACGGTGTGCTTGGTAAAGCGAGACACGGTGTGCTTGGTAAAGCGAGACACGGTGTGCTTGGTAAAGCGAGACACGGTGTGCTTGGTAAAGCGAGACACGGTGTGCTTGGTAAAGCGAGACACGGTGTGCTTGGTAAAGCGAGACACGGTGTGCTTGGTAAAGCGAGACACAGTGTGCTTGGTAAAGCGAGACACAGTGTGCTTGGTAAAGCGAGACACAGTGTGCTTGGTAAAGCGAGACACAGTGTGCTTGGTAAAGCGAGACACAGTGTGCTTGGTAAAGGGAGACACAGTGTGCTTGGTAAAGCGAGACACAGTGTGCTTGGTAAAGCGAGACACAGTGTGCTTGGTAAAGCGAGACACAGTGTGCTTGGTAAAGCGAGACACAGTGTGCTTGGTAAAGCGAGACACAGTGTGCTTGGTAAAGCGAGACACAGTGTGCTTGGTAAAGCGAGACACAGTGTGCTTGGTAAAGCGAGACACAGTGTGCTTGGTAAAGCGAGACACAGTGTGCTTGGTAAAGCGAGACACAGTGTGCTTGGTAAAGGGAGACACAGTGTGCTTGGTAAAGCGAGACACAGTGTGCTTGGTAAAGCGAGACACAGTGTGCTTGGTAAAGCGAGACACAGTGTGCTTGGTAAAGCGAGACACAGTGTGCTTGGTAAAGCGAGACACAGTGTGCTTGGTAAAGCGAGACACAGTGTGCTTGGTAAAGCGAGACACAGTGTGCTTGGTAAAGCGAGACACAGTGTGCTTGGTAAAGCGAGACACAGTGTGCTTGGTAAAGCGAGACACAGTGTGCTTGGTAAAGCGAGACACAGTGTGCTTGGTAAAGCGAGACACAGTGTGCTTGGTAAAGCGAGACACAGTGTGCTTGGTAAAGCGAGACACAGTGTGCTTGGTGCAGCGAGACACAGTGTGCTTGGTAAAGCGAGACACAGTGTGCTTGGTAAAGCGAGACACAGTGTGCTTGGTAAAGCGAGACACAGTGTGCTTGGTAAAGCGAGACACAGTGTGCTTGGTAAAGCGAGACACAGTGTGCTTGGTAAAGCGAGACACAGTGTGCTTGGTAAAGCGAGACACAGTGTGCTTGGTAAAGCGAGACACAGTGTGCTTGGTAAAGCGAGACACAGTGTGCTTGGTAAAGCGAGACACAGTGTGCTTGGTAAAGCGAGACACAGTGTGCTTGGTAAAGCGAGACACAGTGTGCTTGGTGCAGCGAGACACAGTGTGCTTGGTACAGCGAGACACAGTGTACCCTGGACTTGCATTGAAAGGTGTGCCATGCCGAAGTGCTTCACCTGCTCCTCGCAGATACGCTGATTGGAAGTTGTAGAGCTTCGAGGTTGCCTAGAACGACCAAGAAAGACCACATTGCCTTTAGCGTGTAAGACATCTCACATTCCGAGTTAATCCTGACGGAGTGCTTCGAACCATACCAGATACGGTGGTCTAAGACGACTTGACCAGCTGGCCTGCAGCGTGTGTGTGCGTGTGTGCAGTGCAGGACATCTTACATTTAGATACGGGTGGTCTCACATTGAGGGAAGTCCTGACGAAGTGCTTCACGTCCTCGCAGATACGCTGGTCGGGGTTGTCCAGCTTTCCAGCCATCTTCAGATCCAGAAACGCATGGTTGGCTGGCATTGGCACAGGAAAGAAAAAGGTAGGAGAATGTGGGGGGGAAATCGGAGAAAAGGCAGGTGGGCAAGAGGGAGGGAAGGAAGAGAGGAAGCGGGGCTCTGACAACAAGGTGCCTAGCGAGCAGCACTTTCCTAAGTACTTCAAAAAATCACTTCTCACGAAAGTATCTGGAGAGCAGCACGTACCAGAATATCTGGAGAGCAGCACTTACCAAAGTGTCAGTGTCTGGAGAGCAGCACTTACCAAAGTATCTGGAGAGCAGGAGATTTGTAAGCCACAAGCGCCACTCAAGAGAAAGCAGCTCCTGATTTCCAAGAACAGAGGGACAGAGGCACGAAGGGACAGGATGACAGAGGAAAGTTGACGGAGGAACAGGCGGTTGGCAAGAGGAAAACCAGGGAGCAGAGGCAAGCAGGAACAGTGGGAGGGACAGGGGACAGGGGACAGAGAGGCATGAAGTGGACCCGGGGGAAGGAGGGGATACAGGAATGGGGGGTCGAGCTGGGGAACGGAAGGGAATCAACTCAATTACATACTCACTGGAGTGCTCACCTGCAGGTATTAAAAGAGTGCTAAGAAGGGCGGGGAAAAGATGACGATGAGGATGAACATTTACATGGCGAGGTGATATTTACTCACTCACTCACTCACCCACTCACTCACTCACTCACTCACTCACCCACTCACTCACTCACTCACTCACTCACTCGCTCACTCACTCACCTGGACGTAGTCGAAGAGAGCGAAGAAGGGTGCAGCAACGAGGATGATGATGATGAACTTGAAAACCGCATGGTAAAAGTCAGTCTGCTTCTTGGCTGACAGTGCCGTGTTGAAGTCCCTCTGCGTGTACGAGATGACCACATACATCTCTGGTGGGGGGGTGGGGATGAGGGGGAAGAGTGCAGGGGAAGGAAGGGTGAGCAGAACGAGCAAACAGCGCCGTGTTGAAATCCCTCTGTGTGTACGAGATGATCACGTACATCTCCGGTGGGGGGGATAGTTACAGGGAAGAGTCTAAGGAAGGAGAAGCAGGGTGAGCAGCAAGGGAGAAAAGAGACATGTTAAAATCCCTCTGCGTGTACCAGATGACCACATACGTCTCTGGTGGGTGGGATGGGAGACGGAAACGCAGGTAGTGGAAGGGAGATAAGTAGGGAGGGGCCTTGTGTTGAAGCCCCTTTGTGTGTACGAGACGATCACGTACATCTCTGGTGGGGGGGTGAATCAGTTGGAAGGGGGAGAGTGTATGGGTGAAGGAGAAACAGGGTGGGAAATACAGGAGAGAAGCGCCGTGTTGAAGTCCCTCTGTGTGTACGAAATGACTACGTACATCTCTGGTGGGAAATGAGTTCAAGGGGATGAGTGTAGCGATGCAGGGGAAGGGAGGGCGAGCAGGAAGAGAGAGCAGCACCGTGACGGCTTCCCTCTGCGTGTATGAGATGACGACGTACATCTCTGGCGGGGGGGGGATGGGGATGTGAGCGACGGGGAGGGCATGGGATGTGGGATTAGGGTATGAAAAATATAGAAAGTGGAATGGGAGTTGTAGTCCCGTTGAGTATACGTGATGACCAAGTGCACCTGCAGTGGGAATAATATGAAGGGTAAGAGTGTACGGATGACGGGAAGAGGGGTGAGCAACATGGGAGAGCAACCCCGTGTTGAAGTCCCTTTGTGTGGAATGTCTGTGAAGGAGGATAAGCAGCAAGAAGGAGGCCAGGAGAATCCAAGTCAGACTGATTACGGTAAATACTCTGACCAAGCATGCAAGAATAGCTGGATTCGTAGCCACAACTACACCAAATTTCGACATGTTACGACAAATGGAAATCCTAACCCTTCCACCATGACTAGGGGCATACAACCCACCAGTGGTTCTGAGGATGAAGATGAGCAGCAGCACCACCATCAACCCGCGGTGAGTCTGACTCAAATCTTACCTCCTGGAAGCCACAACCCTTCCACCATGAGTAGGGGCCTACAACCCACCAGTGGTTCCGAGGCTGAAGATGAGCAGCAGCAGCACCATCAACCCGAGGTGAGTCTGACTCAAATCTTACCTCCTGGAAGCCACAACCCTTCCACCATGAGTAGGGGCCTACAACCCACCAGTGGTTCCGAGGCTGAAGATGAGCAGCAGCAGCACCATCAACCCGAGGTGAGTCTGACTCAAATCTTACCTCCTGGAAGCCACAACCCTTCCACCATGAGTAGGGGCCTACAACCCACCAGTGGTTCCGAGGCTGAAGATGAGCAGCAGCACCATCAACCCGCGAGCCTTCCACTTGCAATCGCCTGTGAAGAACGCAATTGCAACCCTGAAGAACCTCCTCAGCAACGTCCAGCCGTTGATCTTCTTGTCCTGAATCCCCTGGCTCCCTTCCGCACTGTCGAAACCAGCAGGTCCGCTGGTAAATTTCGCCGAGATATCGTCGCTATCCGGGACCCCATTCAGCAGGGTCTTCACACCGCCAACTCCGTAACTAAGTATCGCGACGAGATTGGTAACCAGACGTTGTGACCAGCCACGCCGGGATGGAGCAGCGGAGGCATCAGGACCGTTGAATCCGAGGTGACTGGAGGAGAAGCTTCGAGGACTGGAGCCGGACTTTAGAGGCACTTGGTCGGAGCATACAGGATCGTCTGACGGATTTCGCTTCATTTTGATTCTATTTTATGCAACGAACTAGTCCCTTCTTGATCCGCGTTAAAGGCCGCCGTCAGCTGAGTAGAAGCCTGAAGCGTAAACAGATCATGCGAATTTAGGAGTACCTTTAAATTGGTTCAAATGCCGAACAACCAGATAATAAATATGAAACAGGCTGCCTCCGAAATCTACTTCACCAAACATTCAGCAGCACTGGCACGAATGACCAGGATTAGGTCTGTAAGGGCGAAGGGTGAAAGCTGTGGCGGTAGCGCTGGTGAAGACGCACGAGAAAAGATCCGCCTTCGAATCACTGAGGAAGCGAATGCCTCTCTGGGATGGATGTGAAACGCATCTGGCGGAAGAAGAATTTTCAAAGCATGCCAGCTTGGGAATCGTTACTGGAAATTATGTGATACCTTGAAAGCATCGCAGTACTGTGGCCTAGAGACTGTCAGAGCCTCTCTGGCACCTGGCTATTGTGTGACGGTTTTCAAGGGGAAGCGTTGAGTGCGCTGAGTGGCTCTGAAAGCTGCTTTTGCATTATTGCACACATCGATCGCGTAGAAGACTCTTCGCATCCCCGATTAGCGAGGATGAAGTACTTTCATGCAGATCTTACTCTAGGTGCTATTGTACATGGAATTGACTGTGCAAGACTCTAAACCAAACATATACATGAAAAAGCAATCACATTAAAACTAATGTATATGGGTAAATTTCTGAATTAAAATAAACTAGAGAATTATTTGTTACGAATAGTGAAATGCGATCGTACACTCCTAACCGCAACAAAGGAAGCACTCAGTATCGAGACACGAAACACGAAGAGTCAGAGTTGACTCGAAGAGTCGCGGACAGCTGAATGGATCTAGACCGTCGGAAGCATACGACATCGGGCAACTAAAAGGGCGACGGAAATGGCGAGAACAGTGTTAAAATGAGAAGTGTCTGCACTATGAGAAGTTGGGAGTACAAATACAAAACCCTAGAATTGTGTACCCCCTAGAGGCTAACCCACTGTAGCCTACACAACAACAACACAAGAATAATGTTTGACACACCCCCATAGGCAAAGTGGGGGAGAGCAAGGGGTCACAAGACCAGTCAAGAAAGGCAAGCAAGCTCAGGGTGGATCACAACGTCACCACACACTCTGAGCACAAGCAAAGAGCCACAAGGCTAGTTCACATGCAGAGGTATATATGCAACAAGCATCACAGTGATCTATATCTAGCAAGCATGCAGGTATATATATATATAAAGATCACAGTACAAACAAAGTCTACAGCAAGTGAGGAAAAGTGGGCACAAGCCCCAACAAAGTGAGGAAAAGTGCAGAAGCGCTGATGATCACTAGGCGGGAGTGCCTTGGTGAATATATCAGCAGTGTTGGCCTGAGTGGCCACGTAACGCAGACGAAGCTGACCACGCTGCTGCAACTCTCGAGCCAGAAAGTACCGCAGAGCGATGTGCTTCGTTCTGTGCTCCAGTCTGTGCTCCTCACACAAGGCATCTCCCTCGCGCTGACTGAAGCCTCGGGCAACGTAACGAGCCTTGAAGACAGGCGGAAAACCCGGCGGCCGCTTCACCCTGAAAATCCACATGCCACTGACGATGTTCGCCCCAGGAGGGGGAACGTCGTCGACGTAAGTGCCAGTGGACTTCCAGGATGCCATCTCTGCGTCCATGGCTGCCTGCCACTGAGAGGAGTAGGGACCCGCGATCGCCTCAGCGTAAGATCGCGGGGTAGGGATGTCTATAGCATCCGGGTCTCCCTCAGGGGCAAGCAGCATGGCCACGAGATGAGGCGCAGCGGCTGCAAGACACTCAAGGTCCTCGTGCCTGTCCTCAAGGACGTCCGTGCCAAGAGCACACTCACCCCCGACGGACGGAGGACAGACAGACTCAGACTCAGCAACAAGGCTAGCAGCGTAGTCTAGACGACAGGCAGCAGCAAAGTCAACAAGCTCAGCGACCAAGGCAGACGCAGCAGAAGACTCAAACGAGGGGTCAGTGACAATAGTGGCTAGCAGACGCGTGACAGTAGGGTGCTCAGCACGAAACCGGTCAGACTCAGGGTCCGGAACGTGAGGCAAAGACGACTCAGGAGGGGACGGCAGAGGAACAGACTGCGGAACAGAGGAAGAACGACGAACGACAAGGCGCGTGCGGGGGACAGACGGCGACCGCGAATGCGGGCCACGACGAACGGTGCATCCAGAGCGAATTGGCGAGACAGGACGCGACGCAGGCTCACGACGCTCAGTAAGACCTCCTGACTGCTCAGTGTAAGGAGAAGGAGCAGGAAGCGGTGAGTCAGGCAGGAGGGGAAGACCGGTAGAAGACGGAAGACTAAGAACCTGGTGAAGGACAGAGTCAGGAGGTGGCAGAGACGACGAAGACGGCGGAGCAAAGAACAGGCGCGTCTGTGTAGTGTCACCAGCACCAGCAGCTCCAGCACCCACAGCAGCTCCCGCACCTCCAGTAGCTCCACCACCCCCAGCAGCAACTCCTCCAGGACCGTCTCCACCAGTCGCAGCGCCTCCAGAACCAGCACCCCCAGTCGCAACGTCCCCAGGAGGAGGACCCTCAAACACAACACCACCAGCCCCAGCAGCTCGAGTACCAGCGGTACGAGCACCTCCGGGACCAGCGACGTGGGCACCCCCAGGAGACAACAAACCAGCACCACCCGCAGCTCCAGGGACGTAAGTGGAAGAACCGCCAGGAGCAGGGTCCCGAGCCACAAAAGCGCGACGTTGACGGCGACGGTACCAGTCGCGCAGCTGTTGGGAGGTAAGAGGCACACGCGTACGAAGGCGGCTACTCCAAGGGGACCGCGCAACAGCAGACTCAGAACCCGCAGCGCCAGTGTCCGTAGCAGCTCCAGGACCTCCAGCTTCAGTGGGAGCACCAGCAGCACCAGAACCTCCAGGCTCAGCACCCCCAGGCTCAGCAAACCCAGGCTCAGCGCCCCCAAGCACAGCACCCTCAGTCTCAGCACCCCCAGGCCCCGCACCCCCAGGCTCAGCACTCCCAGTCTCAGCACCCCCAGGCTCCGCACCCGCAGGCTCAGCACCCCCAGTGTCAGCACCCCCAGGCTCAGCACCCCCAGACTCCGCACCCCCAGGCTCAGCACCCCCAGTCGCAGCACCAGAGTCACCTGTGACCTCGATAGGCTCAGCGACGGGAGGAGGGTCTACCTGAGAGACACCTGAAGGAGCAGGACCCTGAGGGGGAAGGGGGTCTAGCGGAGGGGGACCTGGAGCGAGGAAAAGCGGCGGGGGAGGGAGGGGGGCAGTGCGGTAGGGGAAGAGACGGTAAAAGGGTACCGACTCGTCAAAGGTGACGTCCTGAGACGCAAAGACACGGCGCGAGGTGGGGTGGTAAAACTGCCAGCCAGGCACGTCAGGGACAAAGCCAAGGAAGACGCAGGGAACGGCACGGGAGGAGAGCTTGTCCGCGGACGTATCGCGAACAAGGGCTCGGCATCCCCAGACACGGAACACCGACGCATCGCCAACCTCCCCCGTCCAACGCAGTGTGGGCGAGGTCTCCGGAGCAGAGACACGGGGCCAAAGGTTGAGCTGATGCGCAGCGTACCGGACTGCAAACGGCCACAGGAAATGGGGGGCGGTTGCATAGATCATGGAGGTACGAGCGACCTCCATGACTAAACCAATGCGACGCTCAGCAACCCCATTCTGCTGTGGGGAGTCCGGAAGAGTGAAAGTCTGGCGGATGCCGTGCTCCGCACAGTAGGCAGCCAGGAGGGCGGAGGAAAACTCACCACCCCTGTCAGAGTGCAGACGCAGGACGGGAAAGTCCGACTGGAACCGCTGGCGGAGCTGGAGACGAGCAGCGCGGATCCAAGGGATCAAAACATCAGGGACCTCACCCTTGGTGCGCAAGGGGAAGACCGTGGTGTAGCGCGAGTAGTCGTCGACGACCAGCAGGAAGTACCGCTCGTGGCCCTGTCCCCGGACGCGGGCTGGGCCCCACACGTCCAGGTGAAGAGTCTGCAAAGGAGCCTCTGTGGGAGGAAACGAGGAGGAGTGAGGGGTGGCGCGCTGCCGCCCCTCGACACAGGGAAGACAGGGAGGAGCAGGCGAGGGTGGGAGGGGAGGGAGAACTCTGGGAAGACCAGAGACAAGGTAACGGGAGTGCATGCCACGAAGGCGCTACACAAAGGAGTGACCAAGGCGGTGGTGCCAGAGGACGGTCTGGTGCGACAGGGAGCGACACGAGCAGGGAGCCGACAGCTGACCCGACTCAGACGCAGACGCAGCTACCTGAGGGGACTCAGTGGTCAGTGTGTACAGGTCGGACCCCGGCTGCCGAGTGAAGGTAGCCAGGTGGCGACCCGTCCGAGCACACGTACAGTGGGTCACTCGCTCATAGGCAGGGGTGAACTGGTGAACACCCCCGTCCTGGAGAGCAGAGCCCGCCACCAAGTTCGTAGAGAACGAGGGGAGGTAAAGACCCGACAAAGTGCCAGACGGGGCCGCAGGACAAGGGAGGACAGTGGAGGAGGTCGCAAGGACCGGGCCCCCAGAGGGGTCAGCAAGGGAGACAGCAACAGGCCGAGCGAGTGGCTCAAGGACTGTGCGGTCACGAAAGAAACAGCGGGAAGCACCTGAGTCCAGGGTGAAGGTGTGCAGTGCTGTAGCAGACTCAGTACCAGCAGACGCAGACGCACTAGCACCTAGCGCAGCAGCCATACCAGTACCAATACCTGGGTCAGGCGGCACACTCAGGTAACAGTCACCCTCAGCACTAATAGTCAATGCATACATGGCAGCAAGGATAGCATCATAATCAAGAGCAAAGATATCAATTCCCTTCCTAAGCAGATCAGCCCAGCGAGGCAGCTCAGAGGCGTCAGGGAACTGCTCGCGCCAGG